TTGCAAGAAACGGAGATAGGATGAAATGAAGGAAGGATGTTGGATTCCCAACATTCTACTGGAAGGACACAGGGCTAAAACTACTCAGCAGCAAACATGTGCTACCCGTCAAAAGAAAGGATTAATGATTCTAAGGGCAGAGCTGTGGGCCCAGAGGTGGCGCCTCAAGCCACCATGGATTATTCCCAGCCCTTGAAACCTAATGGAATGTGTTCTGCTGGATTTCAAAATTACTTGGGACCAGTGACACCTTTTTTCCTTCCATTTTTTCCCTTTTGGAATAGGAATGCCTATAACTCCTATCTTATGTCTGTCCCACCACTGTGTTTTGGGAACAGATAATTTGTTTTCTAGTTTCACAGGTCGGGCGATGGAGAGGAATTTTGCCTCAGGTTGGATCATACCCAGAGTCTCGCTTATACCTGACTTAGATGATGAAATTTGGAACCTTTGAGCTGATGATACTAACGTGAGATTTTGAAGCTGAGGTGATGCTGTAATGGATGAAACTTTTGGGGGTATTGGGATGAGGTACATGTATTTTGCATGTGGGGTAGATGTGTATCTTTGGGGGCCAAATGGTATACTGTTGTAGGGTGAATAATGCCCCCCAAAAGATATGCACATCCTAATTCCTGGAACATGTGAGTGTATCTTAGATGGCCAAAAAAAAAAAGAAAAGAGAAAAAAAGAAAAGAAAAGAAAAGAAAAAGGACTTTGCAGTTTGCAGTTGTGATTAAGGTAAGGATTTTGAGATGGGGAGATTATCCTGCATTATCACAGGGACCCTAATTGTAATAACAAATGTCCTTAGAAGAGGGAAGCAGAGGCAGGTTTCACAGACATGATGGGCAATTGTGACCAAAGCGGAGACTGTAGTGATGTGGCTACAAGCCAAGGAATGCTGACAGTCACCAGCATAGGAAGAGGTGACAAACATTCTCCCCTAGAGCCTCTGGAGGGAATATGGCCCTGCTGGCGCCTTGATTGTGGTCTTCTGGCCCCCAGAACTGTGAGAGAATACATTTCTTATGAAGTAAGCCACCAGGTTTGTGGAAATTCATCACAGCACCCACAGGAAGCTAATGAAGATGGCTTGGGGTAGATTTGGTGATTGTTGGAGGGATGATGCTCGGAGGTTATCAGAGGCAGTTTGAGGGGCACCTGGGTGGCTCAGTCGGTTAAGCATCTGCCTTTGGCTCAGGTCGTGATCTCGGCCGGGTCCTGGGATAGAGCCCTGCATGGGGGAGGGGGCTGCTCAGCGAGGAGCCTGCTTCTCTCTCTCCCTCTGCCCCTCCCCCTGCTTGTGTTCTCTCTCTCTCAAATAAAGATTTTATTTATTTTTTTGACAGAGAAAGAGACAGCGAGAGAGGGAACACAAGCAGGGGGAGTGGGAGAGGGAGAAGCAGGCTTCCCACTGAGCAGGGAGCCCGACGTGGGGCTTGAGATCCCAGGACCCTGGGATCATGACCTGAGCTGAAGGCAGACACTTAAGGACTGAGCCACCCAGGCGCCCTAAATAAAATCTTTAAAAAAAAAAAGACAGTTTGAGGGTATAATTAGGAGACATTGGAAAGTGTTTGGGTACTGTTGGAGCCATCAGAGGGAAGACTGAAGGGATTTGGTGGGTCACTGGAGGGTGGTTTGTAGGTGTAGTTGGAAGACTGGGAATGTAAATGGGGAATGTTTACAGATAACATTGGGGACTATTATAGGGCAGTTTAGGGTGCAGTTGGGAGTTTTTGGGGGGTGGTTTGGGTGGTATGGAAAAAATTGGAAGATGTTTTGTGGGTATAGTTGCATGTAATTTAAGACAAGGTTGGGTATAGGGGCGCCTGGGTGGCTCAGTCGTTAAGGGTTTGCCTTCGGCTCAGGTCATGATCCCAGGGTCCTGGGATCGAGCCCGGTATCGGGCTCCCTGCTCATCGGGATGCCTGCTTCTCCTTCTCCCACTCCCCCTGCCTGTGTTCCCTCTTTCGCTGTGTCTCTGTCAAATAAATAAATAAAATCCTTAAAAAAAAAAAAGACAAGGTTGGGTATAGTGGTCATTGAAGAGTGCTTTGGAGGCATACTTTTGGACGGCAGAGTATGGTTAGGAGGGTACGTGGAGAGCGATTTGTGGTCCGTGGGGGTGTTTTCGGTGCATACTGGGGGTAGATGGGAGAGTGACTTGGAAGCATTCCTTGGAGATTGATGGTTTCAGGGCTGATTGCATATGGTTTAGGGGAACGAGTTCGGGGGTAGTGAAGGGTAGTTTACTCCTACAGTTTGGGAGTCCACGGAGGCTGGATTGGGGGTATTGCTTGGGATCAAGGGACAATAGTTTGGGAATGTAGTTGGGGGGATGATGGAGGGTGCTTGGGAGACACAGAAGTTTAGAGGAGAGTTCAGAGGTGTGGTGGTCGCTGATAGAAGGCAGTTTGGGGTACCGCTTGGGGGTCCATTGGGGGGTGACTTGGGGTGGGGGCGCCAGTCTGATCGCTGAGGGGGCGTGGCCTCGGTAGGGGAGCGCTCGGCCGCCCTCGACAAAGCGTGTGCGCACGCGCTCCCAGCTGGTTAGCTCCTGGCGCTCCGAGGGCAGGAAAATCGAAGACCCAAACCGGCGCCTGCGCACTAGGTCTCCGCCGCTGCTGTGGTCTCGCGCCCCGCCCCCCGTCCCCCCACCTCCCCCCAGGCTCGCGCTCAGCGGCGGCTGTGTCGGTGCCGCCGGGAGCGGACGGACCCGAGGTGAGGGTCGGGGGGCCGGGGTCCACCGGCCGCGGCCGAGCCGGCGCGCCTCTCCCACCCTCCCCGCGCCCCCCCCGTCTGGCCCCCACAGCTAACAGTCGCGCGGCCGAACGCGGCCCACGGGCAGGGCACGGAAGGGGAGTAGGCGCGAGGCCGGGGACGAGCGGGGGGGGGGGCGGCGAGGGAGGGGCGCAGCCACCACCCCTCCTGGCCCGCAGCGACCCCGCCTACGTCGCGGGACGAGGACCCTCGGTGAGTAACGCCCGCCGGGAGAAGAAGGGAGGAGACAGGGCGGGGTGAGGGCCCGGAAACGCCAACAGGGGATGTACCTGCGCGCGCACCCGCGACCTCTGACCCTGTGGTCTCGCTCTCGACCCCCCCCACCAGACCTGACTACATCTTTTTTTAACCTCGAGCTCTGGCCAGTCTTGGCCCCAGGACCTCCGATCTGACCCCCGACCTAACCATATTCTGGCCTAGCGCGATCCCCAATCCCTGTTTTGTTCCCTTAAACCCAGTCCTGACCCCAAACCCCACCCAGTTCTGTTCTCAGGATCCTTTGCCCGACCCTGTTCCATCTCTGAGGCTCATCTTGCCTTGTCCTGATCATCCCAGGTTCTGGCCTGATGCTTGACCTGTCTGTTCCCTAAACTCTTGTCCAGCCCCTGAACCCCTTCCAGTCATGTCCTGTCCCCCTAACTGTAGGCTGATCCAGGTCTGTCCGGATTCCTGACCTCTGACTAATAAACTTTCTCCCCATCCTTTGCTATCCTCCTGGTCCCCTCCTGACTCCCCATCTCCATCCTGGCCCACCCCCTGTAGACCATCCCTCTGTTTCCTGCCCTGTCCCTGCCCCCAGCCCTGTGCTGTTTTCCCGTCTTCTCTTGTCCCATCACTGCCCTCATTCCTGTCCTTATTCTTTCGCAGTCTTTTCCTGTTCCTTACCTCCATCCGGAACCTGCCCTTTTCCCTCCCCCCTTCCTTGACCACCGTCTTGGCCCGTCCGTCATCATGTCTTCTGACTGCTGTTCTATACTGACCCTGCCCTGCTCTTTCGTTCTTTGCTGCGCCCTACTTTTCTCGGACCCTTGTCCAGAACCTCACTCTGTCCCATCCCCTGGCTGGTATCCTGGCCTCCATCCTATGATGACGCTGATTCTGTCTTGCCCCCTGCACTCCTTCCTGTTATCTTCCTTCATCCCCTCCCAACCTCAGGCCCTCGTTCTACTCCTTACCACGCCCCTCCACCCTGTTCAGATCTCCCTTTTCCTAACACCCACTTTTCATCTCTCCTCTCAGCCCAGAAGAGCTGGGGTCCTGTTATACCCTGCCCCTGAACTTGGAGATTCCACTGTTCCCATGATCTCAAGTTCATCCCAAATGCTTTTCTCAGCACGAACAAGAGCAAACAGCCTTGTGGGCCCTGTATGGCTAAAGGGGTTTTCGTATGTGATGTCCTTCACCTCTACCCAGTGATCTCACGCAGAGCTTGCATTTGTCTCCCTGCCCCAGGAGGGCATGGAACTGTTCCTACATCCCCCACCCTCCCCAAGTGTGGAAGAACACCCTAAATTATTCAGTGAATCTCTGGGAGTCTGTGAGGTCTGGATCATGTTTCCAGCCTGGCTAGGTTGGGGGCTGCCCCATGTCAAGGTGGGGGGTGTGGTGAGCAAACATGCAGGGGTGGGGGACTCAGGAGTATGTATGACTCTTCCATGTCATGTTACCCCCATCTCCTAGTCCTGATCCTGGGTGTGCATGATTTCTGCTTTCCTGGCCTGAAAAAGTCCATTCCAGGCCAGAGGCTTCAGGGCTTGGTAGGGGTGGGATGGGGGTGGGGGTGGGGGTCTATCCCCCTTCTCTCAGCTGTAAGCAGTTCAAATTTCGGTGCTAAGTCCATCCCACCTCTGGGGGGCAGGTGTGTTTGTGTTTGTGTGTGTGTGGAGGGGGGGGTGTGTGTGTGTCACTGGGTGTTAGACTCAGTCCTGTCCAGTAGTGACAGTAACAGCAAGAGCCATACAAGGTTCTCTCCCTGAATCTCCTTGATTCTGAGGACAGGCAGGGAGAATTTGGATAGCAAGAAGGTAATGTGTTACTCAGTTGTGTTTTGTTCCTGCATTTGTGACAGAGTAATGAGAGCTCGAATAATGAGATCCTAGACCCATCTCTTATCTGAAACATTTATCCAAACCTTTTTTTTTTTTTTTAAGTAGGCTCCACGCTCAGCGTGGAGCCCAACACAGGGCTTGAACTCATGACCCTGAGATCAAGACCTAAGCTGAGATCAGAGTCAGATGCTTAACCGATTGAGCCACCCAGGTGCCACTAACCAAACCTATTTATAACAACACAAGCATTCTTCATTGTCCCAGTGTCTGTTTGGCACCTGACTTCTGAGAGGGAGAGCTCGGATAATTCAGGCAGTGAAAGATACCAAGTTATCTGAAGGGTTTTTTGCTTTTGCGTTTTACACAGTGAGTGGGGAGGGTTCAGATAATGAGGGATAACTGCTCCAGCTAAAAAATATATTCAAATCAATTCATTTCCCTGAGCTCCAGCAGCAGGAGTTGGATTAGTAAGAGGACTGTGTTGTGTGAATGTATTTGGTTCCTGCATTTTGCCTGGTGAGTAAGGGAAGGTCAGAGAGTACGGGACACCAGTTCTATCTCAAAGGTGTACCCAGATCCATTCAGTTCCTGTATGTGGATAGTGAGTGTTTGGAGAATTTATCTGAATAGGTTTGGTTCCTGCGTTTTTGATGTTGAGTAGCGAGAGGTCTGATAATTATGGAAAACAACTCTGTTTCAAATATGTCTGGTTTGATAGGGAGGGTTCAATGTCTGGGTGGCAAGTAGGGAGGGTTTGGAGGCTGAAGGATACCAACTCTGTCTCAGCAGCACATCTGAATACATTTAGTTCCTGATTTTGGATAGTGAGAGTTGGGACAAGTTTATTGGCTGGAAAACAGCTCTGTTTCAGATTTATCAGGTGAAGCTGAAGGATACCAGCTCTGTCTCCCAAAAAAAAAAAAATACACACACACACTTGATTCCTGAGTTTAGATGGGGAGGAGTGTTGTCATTATGACAGCCAATACCTATCGAGCAGTTACCAAGGGCCAGGTACCGTGCTAAGCAAGCTGTGAGTGTCTTAACTCGCATCATGCTCACAACAGTCCTGTGAAGTACATACTGTTGTCGTCAGCCCCGTTTTATAGCTGGAGACACTGAGGCACAGAGAGGATACGTGACTTGTCGGGGCGGCCGTCAGTCGCAGAGCGGGGCTGAAGCCCAGAGCCGCTGCTGGCCGCCCCTACAGGAGGCCGCGTGGGACGCAGGTCCCGGCTGGGGTGGCGCCTAGAGGTTGGCCATCTTGCAGGACAATGAGATGTGTGTGGGTGATTCTGCCCCACCTGTCTGCTTGGCCCAAGAGGCCCAGTTACCCGCTCTCCCCTCCTTACTCCTGCCCCAACCCACCTCTGCACGGGCTTATTGTTGTTGTTATTGACGGTCATTAATGACGTGGTGTGAGTTTCCTTGTACTTTGAAATGCCTCCCAAAGTGACTGGCCTCTGTCGGCCCTGTAACCGCTGTTTACCCATTTTACAGATGAGGAAAGCCAAGCCTTGATACTCAGTCTGCATTGCCAGCCAGAGATGCCCTCGGCCCTCTCAGCTCTGGTTTCATAAGTGTCCCTCTTCCCAGCATTCTTGCTGTCCCACAAGAGGCGGGAGAGGCCATGGCTGAGGGGACACTCCCCATTGACACCTAGCCACCCACCTTATGGCCGCTGCCTCCACCAGCCCTAGGCAGTGAAGGGGGGAGAAGGGGGCGGATGAAAGGAGCCTTTGTGTCCCATGCCAGAAATCTCACCCCCAGGAAGAAAGGTGGGCAGGGTGGCGGGAGGCCTTGGTAGCACGCATATACATATATGGGGCAGGGCACTGCTGATACAGGGCTCCCCTCCAGGCTTGGCCCCCCTGCCAAGTGGGGAGGGAGCTTTCCTCACTCTGCTCTTTCACATCACAGCATGGGCTGCTGCAGGGGCCCGGGTTGGGCTTGGGCCCTGAGGTCACAGAGCAGATGGTCCCAAATGGAGCACAGGATGTGTGGTATGTGCTGGGGCAGGCCAGAGCCCTCAATTTCCTTGACTCTGGCCAGAAATGCCCAAGGGGGAGGAGTGGGGCAGAGCCAGCCTGGATGTAAAGAAGCATGAGCCCCCTCCCCACTCCTCCTCCCTTGCAGGAGTAGCCTCTGTCCGCCTCCAGCCCAGGACCCGGCCCCCCGAGTTCTGAGTCCACCTGCTTTTAGGCCTCTGTGATCAGAATCAGGCCTCTTCACCTCTCCAGGCCCCAGCTTCCACATCTATGAGCTGGCTATGAAGAGCTGGGTCTGCGTCATCCTCCCAGGTTTGTAGGGACCAGGAGGGGTGAAAACATGCATGTTTTGTCGGTTTGCTGGGATGATTTCCTCTGGAGGTGCAGAAGGTAGTAGGGTCTTGAAGCCCCCGTCTTTCCTTGGAGAAGCTGACCTCCTCTGTCCCCAGTTTGGGAAACTGTTACCTCAGTGAGGGTGGCAGTCACTCCAAGACCTTCTCCCACCCGTGCCTTGTCCTGGGAGGGAAAGGTAGGGGCCTCAGGCATGTGATGCTTGCTGCCAAGAGACACACACCCGATTTACACCCGCATGCTTAATGTGTCCCTAAACTCCATCCTCAGCTCCCAGGTAATACCCTTGGGTGGGCAGGGTCTGATGTGGGCACCCGGGTAGCACCGGAGGCAGCCCCACTCCCACAACCCTTAGCCCTTCTTCCTTAGTTCCCTACTAGGTGACTGGAGTGAGCGGGGACGTCTGGGCTCTTTTCTTGGCCATGCTGGACACCCTGAAGGGTCCCGGCCCTGAGATTGTCCCTAAGGGTGTCCTGAGCCCTGGTGACAGGCAGGCAAGGGTTAAGAGGTATGGGCTGGCCCAGTCCCTGGCCAGGTAGGCTGGGCTATTGCCTAGTGGGAGGCGGCCTAGGCATCCGCCACTGTGCTCACCACCAGCTCACTACCACTACCAGCTGGAACGGGGCCTGGTTGAGACAACTATTTTTTGAGGTACCTGAGGCCACCCCACTGCACCTCTCTGGCGTTGGTGAGCACCTGGGAACAGGGGGCCCAGGGGCGGGGTGGGGGGAGAAGGGTATAGGGTGTACCATGGCTTCCCCTGGGAGAAAGCCAGGTCTGTCTGTGCGGGGGGGGGGGGGGGTACAGCGAAGGAGGACCTGAGGAGAGGAGCGAAGCCCCAAATGTCCAATTTCCTCTCCTGGCATGAAGCCGATTCCTTGCCAGAAACAAACGAGAAGAAGGGGTGGGGTAGAAGAGAAGCCAGAGTCCCCCTTCTCCACAGTCCCCCCTTGCTCCCTGGCCCCCTTCCTCCCCCTGGGGAGTAGCCTCTGCCTTCCTGCAGCCTGGGGCTTTGCCCCTGGGGAAAGCCCAGAGCGGGCTATTGAGAAACTGCTTCCCGACACCAGCCTGCCTCCATCTGTTCACCCAGAGTGGGGGACAGTCCCGGGCACTGGGAGTTGGTATTTGCCCCGATAGTGGATAGTGGCGAGATAGGGAAATGGAGGGTCCCACTGAGGGTGGTAGGGCGCCACCCAGGTGAGGCGTCTCGGTTGTAAACAGTCATTACGGCCAGGAATTTCTTTCTCGGCTGTGCTGTCAGAAGGGCAGACCTGAAAAACCTGCTGGGCCCGCCTCTGGGTGTGTGTGTGTGGGGGGGGGTCCCCTCTGCAGCTCTCCTGCTGCGGCCCCATCCCGCGACAGGACTCAGGGGCCGGGGGAGGTAGTTAGGGAAGGGACTGCTGGGATCCCCCTTCTCTGCATCTCCAGGTGGGGATGGGGCAGTTCTGGACCCTAAGGCAAAGGTGCAGAGGGCAGGCAAGTGGAGGCAGGGGTTCGGGAGCTGGGTGTGGGGGTGTGGGGCGTTGACCCTGTGTCTAGCCTACCCGGTGACCCCATGACTCAGGCCCTAGCTATGTCCCCGAGGTCAGGCTGACAGGGTGGAGTCGGGGTTCCTGTCTAGACCCCGTGTTGACTTCCAGGATGCCGTGAGCTCCCAGGGAAGGAAGGCTCAAGGCAGCCCAGCGTGGGATGTGGGACCAATCCTGGTGAATGGGCCCACCGGGGAGGCGTTGAAGTTCCTGTTGGGGTGGAGCCCTGGGAGAGTTCCTCAGACTCAACCAGGGGCTGGAGAAGAAGGAGCTCCAGGAGGCTCGGGGCCCAAGAGGCTGAGCTGGGACCTCCAGGAAACCTCGCTGTGCTGGGCAATGTCAGGCCTTGGAGGGTGGTCATCTGCAGAGCACACGTTGCTGCCTGGGTGTGCAAAAAGGTTGTAGGGACTGACCCCTACTACTGAGGTTGAGGACAGGGAACCACTGTTTTCTGGGAGCCGGTAGCAGGACTGGTGGCACCATATTAGCAGCTTGGCCGCCTCCCGCAGCAGGTTGATGGGGAAGGGGCTCGAACCCACAACCTCCTTGGCCACCTGGGTCTTCTTCACACCTGGCCGCCACAGCAAGCTGGGGATTAAGAGGGGCGGGGACCTCCGTGGCCTCATGAGGCCCTCCCAGTTGCCTGCCGCCAGCCCGAGCTCAGGCCAGGTGGTGGGAGGTGATGTCACCTGGCTCCCCAGCTGGGGACCGAGCAGGATGTGGGAGGGAAGGAGCAAACTCCAGAGGAGGGGACGAGGGCAGGGCTGGCAGCCAGCCAAGGCAGGCTCTGTGGTCAGCCAGGGTGTCTGGGGGCAGAGAAGGAAGTAGGAGGCAGGAGGCTTGTTATCTGCAGCTGAGGACTTTGCTGCTCACTGTCCCAGCAGGGGTGACTCCGCTCTGCCTGGTTCGGGACCAGGACCGACTGGGGTGGGCAGAGGGGCTGGAGGGGTCCGGAGGCCTAGTGAACACTTTGCGGCACTGGGGCCGCAGGATGGAATCAGGACAGGTAGAGACCCACAGATCTGGGCTAGATCCCTAGCTTGGCTCTCTCACTTATGCGACAGCCATTCATTGAGTGCTCACTGCTCTCTCAGAAGTGTTCTGAGTGCCAGAGATCCCAGGAAACCGGACAGGTATGTTTCTTGTCCTCACGAATGTGCAAGGGAAGCACAGTCTCTTGCTGGACAGCAGTTGTGAGGGGACCCGGGTGGGGGCCCACCACTGGAAATGACACATAAGCCCCAGCATGTAAGTGAGAACTAGGGGCCGGAGAGGCGAGGCATGGCAAGAGCACTCCAGACGGCAGCCGCAGCCTGGGCAAAGGCCCTGAGGCCTGCTGGGCCGGGAGCTTATGAGGGATTGGTGAGGTTGGAACAGCTCCACGGGGGAGGGTCAGGCCTTCTGTGCCTCACTGTCCTCATCTCGGAAATGGGGGCAATAATCACAGAACTGCCGTCAAAGGGTGGTTGGAAGATTCAGTGTGGCATGGAAGGTGACTGTTCCAGGACCCAGGTGCTTCATCAGGGCCCCCCGTTGTTAGAGTTGGTTCAATCTGTACCATTAATTCTCCCTCCCTAGGCAAGACTCCTGACTGCGGCCCATGGGCCTCTGAGGAGGCGTCGTAAGTCCGCCCAGCTCCCCACGTGCTGTGCTTCCACTCAATGGGAAGGGAGCCGAGGTACCAGGGCCCAGTGGGGCCAGACACTGCCACAGATGCTGAGAGGGCAGGCCAATCAGGAGGGCGGGGTCAGGGGACCCTTTACTCCCAGCTAGGCTGCGGGACGTTGGGTCGGGGTGGGGGTTGGGGGGACGCAGGATGTGCTTCCTTAATGGCTCCTGTGCGTCCCTGCCAGGCCCTGTCCAGCGATCAGCCACTGCCTCTCGACGGCACCAGGATGGAAGTCAAAGGTCAGCTGATCAGCTCTCCCACCTTCAGTGCCTCAGGTGGGTGGCTGGTTCCCCTCTCTGCCTCTTTCACCGCTCTGAGTCACCACCTGCCTACTTGGAAAGGGTTGGTCCATGGCCCCACGCTGTGCCAGGACGCCCTGGCTGATCTTTGCTCGGAACTTTGCTCCCTCTGTGTCCAGCTGCCCTGTTCGGAGAGGCTGCCCCCCAGGTGAAGTCAGAGCGTTTGCGGGGACTGCTTGACCGGCAGCGAGCCCTGCAGGAGGCCCTGAGCCTGAAACTTCAGGAGCTCCGCAAAGTGTGTCTCCAGGAGGCGGTGAGGGCCTGGCCCTGAGTGTCTGATGGGCAGGGGTGAGGAGCCGGAGCTCCTAGGCAGGCAGGTGGGGGCGGTGAGTGCTGAGCCACCTGTCTGAGCTGTAGATTCCCTGTCACCCTCTAGTTTCTCAGAGCTCAACTTCGACGTCTTAAGAGTCAGGAAAATCTGGCGGGGCAGGCCCCCAATTCCTTATCAGCAATTTGAAATCCCCAAACCCTCCAAAACAATAGTTATTTCCAAAATCTGGCAGTAAAACCTGACCTGAACTGACAAGGGGTGAGTTACGGTTTTGATTTACCCCTCTTGGTGTGAACGTCTACACAGTTGGCCAGGAACGATAACGCAGTTCACAGCATGCAGCCCCAGGCCCTGAGGGGTGGGTGACATGATATGCAGTATATAGACCACGTCGCCTTTACGAGAAATAAGAAATTCCAGGTTCCAAAGCAGGTCTCCTGACCTCCCATGCCCTCGGCCCCAGGGATTTGGGCCACCTGTGGCGGGGGGGGGCGTGCGGTGGGAAGACCTGGGAGTGAGGAGGAGAAGCGGCAGGCATGGGGTGCTGGGCATTACTGAGCTGCTAGTAGGACTTCCGTAGCTTCTGCCGTCATTCCTGCTTTGCGCCATTCCCCCAGCTAACCCTCGGTAGTCTCTGCCCCCGGCCCCCACCAGGAGCTGACCGGCCAACTGCCCCCCGAGTGCCCGCTGGAGCCTGGGGAACGGCCTCAGCTGGTCCGCCGGCGGCCCCCTGCCGCCCGAGCCTACCCTGCATCGCACCCCAACCCAGCACACCGCTCCTTGTGCCCTGCTGAGGTGAACAGATGGGCTTGGGGAGAAAGGTGGGGGTGGGACAGGTACCGGGGCAGCGCTGGGGTTGTGGCCAGGGCAGGGAGAGGGGAAGGTGACAAGGAAGCAGCTGGAGGGAGGTGGGATCCGGCTCTGGGGGAGGGCACTGGGCCCCGTCCTAAGCCTCTCACCCTCAGGAAGAGGGATGTGTCTAGTCCATACCCGAGGCAGGCCCCACCTGCAGAAGAAATGAGCTCCGCCCCAGAACAGGCCCCGCCCCCGCGTCCCTGCGCCCGGCCGGCTCGGACATGTGGTCCCGTCCTGCCCCGGTCGGGCGCGCCCCGCAGGAGCTGGCTCTCGAGGCCCTGGAGCGCGAGGTGTCCGTGCAGCAGCAGATCGCGGCCGCCGCCCGCCGCCTGGCCTTGGCCCCGGAGCTGAGCGTCGAGCAGCGCCGGCGCCGGCGCCAGGTGCAGGCAGATGCACTGCGGAGGCTGCACGAGCTGGAAGAACAGCTGGGGGACCTCCGGGCCTGCCTCGGCCTCCCGGGGCTCCCCCCGCCACAGCCCCTGGCCCTGGCCGCGGGGGCGGTCATCACCGCCCAGGGAATGTGCCTGGGCACGCGCCTCGCTCAGCTCAGCCAAGGTGAGCCCCCCACCCCGTGTCACCGCACCGGCGAAGGCGGGAGCGTGGGCGGGGCTGGGAGACGGCCCGTGACAAGTGGGAGCCAGGGAGGACTGAAGGGCCCCGACCCGTAAGGGGAGTCGTGACCGACTGGCTCTGTGGCAAGGGTGGGGCCGCTGGGAACTTGACCAGGTGGCCCCAGGAAAACGAAGAGCCAAGCAGCGGGTGGTCTTGGATTCAGGTAAAGGTGGGTTCTTGGGAAGGAACGGGCCGGGGAGGAGACCGTCGGGGGGTGGGGCGGAAGGGGATGGCACCCAGCCCTTGCCTTGAAAGGCCCGGGTCTCCCCCTTCTCGCCTGTAGAGGACGTAGTTCTGCACTCGGAGAGCAGCTCCCTCTCAGAGTCTGGGGCCAGCCATGATAATGGTGAGGACTCCTGTCCCCCAAAGCCACCCACCCTTTGATGCTCAGCCCCTCCACTCCCTCTTTAACCCCTCTTGAGCCATGCCCCGTCCTTGCCTGGGGCCCCCATCTTTCTTGGCTCTCGCTGCCCAGCTCATGATCCCCAGTTCCAGCCTCGAGCCTTAGCTCCTGGCCCACCCTCTGCCACTGCCTGCCCCCCACCCCCGTCCCTGCGCGCAGCCCATCTGGCCCCCCCCATTGGCTTTTCTCGCACTTTCCACCTTCCTCCCAGAGGAGCCCCGTGGCTGCTTCCCTCTGGCCGAGCGCCCCTCACCACCCAAGGCCTGGGACCAGCTGCGGGCCGTATCTGGGGGCAGCCCTGAGCGGCGAATCCCATGGAAACCACCCCCGTCAGATCTTTATGGGGATCTGAAGAGCCGGCGGAACTCTGTGGCCAGCCCCACCAGGTGAGGGTGAGCCCCTTCCCTCCCCGCCCCGCACCGGGAGCCGGGAGCCGGGAGCCGGATCCTGAGCCTGGGCGGGCAGAAGGGCCTGTTGGTGGGTATGGTCTCTAACCTGGGCCTGCCCGTCTCTGTCTAGCCCGACGCGCTCGCTGCCCAGGAGTGCCTCCAGTTTTGAGGGGCGAAGCGTGCCCGCCACCCCTGTCCTCACCCGGGGCGCTGGCCCCCAGCTCTGCAAGTAAGGGGACTCTGAGGGTGGGTTGGAGGACTGGGAGAAGAACTGTTAGTTCTAAGAGAGCATTAGCAAAGGGTATGGGATGTGAGAGGCTGGGCTTTGAAAGGTATATTTGGCACAAGTCGCTTCCTTTCTCTGAATCTTGGCTCCTCATCTGTGAGATGGGCGTAATATCTGCCTGTGAAGGATGCTGTGGGCATAGTAAGTTCTGGTTAACATGTACTGAGCGCCTAACATCTGCTGGGAAGCCGTGTTCTGCACGGTATCGACCCCTGTAATTGTCCTAAGATCCCTGCCAGGTAGGTGCTGTCATTATTCCCGTTTTATGGATGAGGAGCCTGAGGCACAGAGCAGTTAAGTGACTTGGCAGTAGATCGAAGACCTGGTGTTTGAACCCAGGCTGCTTTGCCTCTAGAGTCCGTGCTTTGAACCGCTGCTCCCTCCTACTTCTTGAACAAATACTTGCTAAGCACCTGCTTTTCCCAGGCTGTGAGCAGAACAAAGTCCCTGTCCTTCTGGCACTCGCATCCTGTGAACGGTGGCTGATAGTTCGGGGTCGTTCAGACACACGGGGCGGGGGGGGGGGGCAGAGAGTTCAGGAAGTTGGATTCCAGGCCCGGGGATTAGGACCCCACTGTGGAGGGGGCAGGGAGCTGTAAGACACCCCCCCGCGCAGGGCAGGGGGCCCCAGGCATTGGGAAGAGCCCTCTGCTGGTCCTCCTCTGTCAGTCCTTCCCCTCCAGCCCTGCACACGCTTACATCTCCCTTGGCACTAACCACCCTACCCCCCATTCGTCTTCCGTCCCTCTGCCCCTAGCGGGGGACAGAACCTCTGCTGCCTTGTCCATGCGCCCCGCCTAACCCCTTGATACACCAGGTCTCTAATCCTGGGGCCCTTCCGGAGATGCGCAAGTGAGAGCTCAGGAAGAGGTGGGGTCTGGCGGGCGCCCGGCCACTCCCGTCACTCCCGTCACCCCCACCTCTGCGTCCCCAGACCCGAAGGCCTGCATTCTCGCCAGTGGTCCGGCAGCCAGGACTCCCAGATGGGCTTCCCCCGGGCAGAGCCTGCCTCCGACCGCGCCTCCCTCTTTGCAGCCCGCACCCGTCGCAGCAACAGCTCTGAGGCCCTGCTTGTGGACCGGGCGGCCGGTGGGGGAGCTGGCTCCCCGCCTGCGCCTCTGGCTCCGCCTGCCGCTGGCCCCCCGGTCTGCAAGAGCAGCGAGGTGCTGTACGAGCGCCCCCAACCAACCCCTGCCTTCTCCTCCCGCACAGCTGGCCCCCCAGACCCTCCCCGGGCTGCCCGGCCTAGCTCAGCTGCCCCTGCCTCCCGTGGGGCCCCCCGGCTCCCGCCCGTGTGCGGGGACTTCCTCTTGGACTATTCCCTGGACCGGGGCCTGCCCCGCAGCGGCGGCGGTGGCGGCGGCGGGCCAGGCTGGGGGGAGCTGCTGCCCGCAGCTGAGGTCCCAGGACCTCTCTCCCGCCGGGATGGGCTCCTCACCGTGCTCCCAGGCCCACCACCCGTGTATGCAGCTGACGGCAGCAGCCCCCTCCTCCGCAGCAAGGACCCCCACGCCCGTGCCGCCCGCACCAAGCCCTGCGGCCTGCCCCTGGAGGCCGCCGAGGGGCCGGACGTGCATCCGAACCCTCTGCTGTGGATGCCCCCGCCCACCCGTATCCCCCCAGCCGGGGAGCGCATCGGCCACAAGAACCTTGCCCTGGAGGGGCTGCGGGACTGGTACATCCGCAACTCGGGACTGGCCGCCGGGCCGCAGCGGCGGCCTGTGGTCCCCCACGTGGGCCCACAGCACCCGCCCTTCCTCCACGCCCGCTGCTATGAGGTGGGCCAGGCGCTGTACGGGGCCCCCAGCCAGGCGCCGCTCCCGCACTCGAGGAGTTTCACGGCACCCCCTGTCTCCGGCAGGTATGGGGGGGGCTTTTACTGATGGGTAGGGGTCTCTTGAGGCAGATGGCAAGCCAGTCACGGTAGCTAAAGACTCAGACCGGGAGAGAGCTAGCCGCCGCCTCGGCCCGGGGTCCTGGGCCCTGCCTGACCTGCATGAGTCTATGGGGTCTCGGTGGAGGGGTGTCTTGGGCCCTGGCAGTGGCGGCAGTTGTCTCCCAAGCTGTAGAAGAATTCCAGTATTTGAACAAAACAGTGCATGTCAGCTGAAAATGAGCCTTGAAAGCAGGGTGCTGGGAGGAAGGGCCTCCCGGGCCCCTTGCCTCTCTCTTCTGCCTTTGGCCGTGCCCCCACGCTTGCGAGCCGAAAGGTGCTGTCCTGTGCCTGCCTCCGCCTCTTTAACGAGCCTCTTTTCCTCTCTTTCTGTGTCTTGTCCGTCTTTTCCTCTCTTCTCTGTCTTGCCACCCTGTCCGGATTCCTGCTCCCCCTTCTAAAGATACTACGCGGACTTCCTGTACCCCCCGGAGCTGAGCGCTCGTTTAAGTGACCTGACGCTAGAGGGGGAGCAGTCCTCCAGTTCTGACCCCCAGACCCCGGGGACGCTGGTCTGACCCCTTCTGATATGCCCCTTGTTGGCCTGGGCACGACTTTAATCTGGGGGAGCGCACAGCTGACCTCGCTGAACCCTGGGGTGTGGTTGCTGTCAGTCCTGGGGGGTGCCGACCTGATCTTCCAAGGCCCCTGGCTCCTCGTGGACCCACGAAAGTGTCTGACACCCTGCTTCCCCTCTCACACTGTGCTGGGAACTAGGACCCTCAGCCAGCTTAAAAGCGGGGCGATGGTGTAACGGGGACTCCAGGCCCCTTCCTCCATTTCTGTTTACACTTGTGATTTAGGTCTTCACTGTCTTCCCCCAACACTAGACGTTTTATAAAAGGGAAACTGTGATCTCGTCCTGGTTGGGTTCATTCCTGTCCCCACGCCCAGCCCGTTCCATTCAGGAAACCCCACCCCCCAAAATAAACGGACCATATAGGGTCTCAGGGCCCTTTTCGGGGCAGCCAGGAGACTCTGGTGTGAACAGAACTCCCCGCCACCCCCCACCAGGCCAGTTCTTGGGGAGTTGGGCTCTCTGCCCACATTTGGAAGGACTGAAGGCTGGGTAGGGGGCTTGGGTTCATTTTCCTACCCCCAGGGGCACCCGAGGGAGCCCCAGCCCTTGTCTGCCTGTCTGTGCCCGCTGCCTCTGCCCGCAGGATGAGATGGCCCAGCCTCCACCCTGTCTAGCCCGGTCAGGCAGTTGGCCCTGCGGGAGGGCCCAAGGGCAGAGCCGCCGGGCATGTTGCGTCCTGGGATGCTGCGGTGGTGGAGCCTGGCATCTGGTCTATGCCAGTAAAATCCTCAGGTGACGGTTGGCCAAAAGCTGCGTCACGTCTTCCTTGGCTTTCTTTCCACCCACCACTTTTTAAAACAAATCTACACAAGCTGTGTTTTCTATGATACCTATCTGTGACTTTCTGGAGCTGGGGGTCCCCCTACCTCCTTTACCTGGTGTTAAACTTTTCTTTTTCTACCAGTGGATCTGGGCCCAAGACACTACCCACACTGGAAGGGGATTTCTATAATAAATGTGTAAACCGAACCCATGTGTCACTCCTCTTGTCCGCCTTACCTTGGGGGCCCACACCTGTAGTTAGGACCAGGTAATAGGTTTTTATGATGCCAGATTATAAAAAACACACACTGGAAACAGCGTGTGATAATGGCGTCCACCTGGGCTTTACTTGCTGGGATGCGGGGCGACAGCTTCGCTGTCTGCACTCAGATCCCTCCCGGCCCCAAACGGGAGCCCTTGGTGATACAAGTGATGGCAAACACCGCGCTTAACGGCCTCGTGTTAGTGCTGCTCCAGAGGAATCCCCTGCTTTGAGGAAGGGACCGAGAGCTCCCCCCGCCCTTCGGTCCACATAGTTGACAGAAAGCGACCTAGGCAGAAAAGAGTCCAGCAAAACTGAAAAGCAGAAGGCCACTTCTGGCCACTGAAATGCATGGACTTGACCCCGGAAGCCCACGTTGGCTTGAGCGCTGCAACAGCCTTTATTGTCGCGGTAACACTGATTACAGATGCCCCATTCCGGGTCAGGGATACCCCCACCCCATCCCACCCCTTGGTCCTCATCACTGTGGAACTTTGGAGAGGGGGGCCGAATCCCTAAGCAGAGCTGGAGAGAGGCAAGTGGGACTGGTGAGTGTTTGGGTCACCTCGAACCACGTGTTCAACAGGGTCAGGATGCCTGAATCCTCTGTCCTGTTGGGGGCTGGGAACACTGGGACCCGGGTTCAAGATTTGGCAATGCCCTGACCTGGTTTCAAAGCTGGGGTAGGGTCTGGAAAAGCCTTATTAGTCCCATGTTCAAGAGAATGCCTTGGTCCCAGGTCCCAGCTTTGGGGCTGAGCATGGGAGATGGGTGGGTCCCAGATTGGGGGTGGGGGAGTATCTCTGGGTCCAGAGTTTGAGGTTGGCCACAGATGCCCTGGGCTCCAAGCCCCAAGTTCAGGGCTGGGGAAGAGTGGTCCCCTAGGTAACCGAGGGGGGGGGGGCTGGGTAGGAGGAATATCCCAATTTTGGACCTGGGGTGGGGAGGGTCGCAGATGTCCTCTGGTTTTTGAACTGGACAGGGCCCTCTATTTCAAAGGCTGGGAAAGGGCTCTGGGTCCCGGTATACAGGGCCAGGGTGGGGATGGCATTCTCCAGGTCTTGGGTACAGATCCCAGACCCCTAGGATCCAGCCTCCTGCTCTTGTCCCAGCGCCTCCAGTAGCAGCCCCATTGGCGTCCGCTTGAGACCAATACTCTCAATCTTGTTCTCGATCTTGTTCTTGAGGTTTCGCAGGCGCAGCGAGGCGTGCACCAGAATCACTGTGGGCAGTGCCGAGAGGAGTGGGGTCAGTGGGCTGAGACCTCAGCTTTTAGCCAGTGGGGGCCCACAGAGGGGAACTGGAGCACTGGCAGGCCGATAGAGTGGTCAGTGGTCAGGATGCCTGCGATCTGAAAGCGTGGCCGAGTAAGGAGCCTTGCGACAGGGGCGGGGCCGGGGAGGGCGCAGGGTGGCAGGGACGTGGCCGGTGGAAGACACTGAGCATCAGGAGCGCGGCCTGAAAGGGCGGTAGTACGAGGGGCGTTCCCAGAAGAGGGAAGGCAACGCCAGGGAAGGCGCTCGGGGAAGGAGACGTGTCCCAGCCCCCTCTTAGGGCAGGGCCGGCCTGCCGCTGAGCGCAGGCGCCGGCCGTTCATCGGGCTATGGCCGGGTAGCGGGTACTCACGAAGCACGGGTCCGGCGACGCTCAGCAGGAAGGTGCAAGCGCCGCCCACGGCCCAGAGAACAAGCAGGCCGACGGCGAGCACTGCGGCCAGGCAGGCGGCGGGGTGGCTGCGGCGGCAGCGGCGCACGGCTGCTTGAGTCTCAGCCGCCCACACCAGCGCGCCAAGGGCCACCGTCACTACCAGCGCGCTTAGGAGGGTGTGCAGCGGGCGCACGTACCTGCGAGGACAATGGAACTGAGCTAGCCCGGCCGACGGCGAGAGGGCTGCCCAGCCTCCAAGCCTCCCCGTCCACCCAGTCCCGGGCTCCAAGACCTCTGGTTCCCCCCTCAGGGCCCCCCAGCGCGGCAAAAAACTCCTGCCAGTCCTCTGTCCCCACGGGTCCACCCTCCAGGGCTTCCGACTCCCAGGAGCCCCGGGGGCCCTCATTTCCTTTTCGTAGATCCTACAGTCCCATCTTCCTTAGCTCTCCCGTTTCAGGCCCTCTCGTCCCGCTAGGCCTAAGCCTCCAGGCTCCCAGCCCTTGCCAGCTCTTTTCTTCCAGCCCTACCACCCGCGGGGCCCCTCTCCTAACCGCCCCTAGACCCCACCCGCCCCCGCCCCCAAATCCACCCTTTGAGCCCAACCCTGTAGATTGCTCTTCCAGGCCTTCTGTCTCCAGACATTTCCCTCTCCGTGGGCCCAGAGTCTTTACAAGACCCCTTCCAGGCTTCCTCCCCTTCAAGGCCCCCATCCAGGTTCCCACTCCCTATAGATCTCTCCCTCCATCATTGCTAGAACCCCTTCCACGCTTTCAGTAGCACTTTTAACTTCCAGCCCTGCCCAAGTCCCTCCAGGTTCTCCATCCTTCTCTGGTCTCAGGCCTTCCACCTCTGGGTCCTCCCTCTTGGTTCAAGTTCCCCAAGAGGTACTTGCTCTTGGAACGTTCCAATCACAGCCAGGCTCCCCTCCACGCCCAGAGCCTCCGCAAGCCCACCCTCCCAACCCTTCAACTTCACATCCCTGTCCCTGTCTCTGCCCGAAGTCCTCCAAGGCCGCCTTAATCGGGCCCCATCACTCACGTCCTCCCCCTCCACCCCCACTTTCACTTTCAGGCCCTCCTTATCTTCAGGTCCACCTCCTTACCCAGTTTCCCCTCCAGTCCCACATTCTCCACCCTCAGGCCGTATCCCACCCAAGGCACGCCTTATAACCATGCTCGACTTCCTTCAAGTCTCCCCTCTCATTCCCCGGAGGTTTTCCATCGCTAATGAACTCGCCCTTGCAGCCTTGCATCCCCCTCCCGTTCCTCAAAACCCCACGGGTCCACCCTCCCTGCCCCGCAGGCGTCCCTGGCCAACCGGCGTCTCCCTCCCTCCCTCACCCGGCCAGAGCGAGACTGAAGCCGAAGCACAGAAGGTAGTTGGTTTGGTAGTAGAGGAGGTTGTTGATGACGCGGTGGCACCATCGCTGCGGGTCGCACGGATCCGGAGCCGCCAGACGCGCCGACCCCAGAACGAAGTCGTCCAGGGCGCGTAGCGGTGGCAGCCGCACCTCCGACATCCTGCCGGTCGTTGTAGCTGGACCAGCCAGAAGAGCGGCCGGACTACAACCCCCGTTGCACCCCGCGCCACCGCGAGGGACACCGGGAAATGGAGTCTGGGTCCAGCGGCTGCTCTCTCAACCACCCAGGCGGACTACGCAATAGCCGCAATGCACGTGACCAGAAATGCCAACACGCCGGAACTGTAAGGCAGCAGGGGCTGCCGGGAAATCAAGTCGCCGCCGCCGGGCGAGGAGCTCCCACCCATCCCCAGGTGGGGGCGCCCAAGGGGCTGTTCTGAGCCGTGCTGATAGCGCAAGTACACAGCGATCGAGACATTCTAGGACATGCACACACACATTCCGGGACATACAGATAGGGGCTGTCAGAAGGACTCGGGCCGGGCAGGATCCCACTTCCTTACAAGTCAGGGTCCAAGAGGGCCGCACCTACTTGGAAACTCCCGCAGGGCCTTTTCAGCTGCCTCTCCTCCGGGCCCCACCCGTGCCCCCCAGGTCCAGCCCCAGAAATACTATCAAGGGCCTTTTATTCATATTCACCACATTAGAGATGTCTCTTTTCTGGGAAGGTTTTTTAATCCCCACAGGTTGAATCAGGGCACTCCCTCTAGGTCGCTGGCCGTCTTCAGGCTGGGAGTCCCAGGGGGGTCTCCTCCCTCCCTGGGTCCCTGGCCTGGCCCTGCAGGCACACAGTCACCAAGAAGCATTTGGGGGCAAGTGAGCTGTTTCGGCACTGCGCTGCTGCGGGCCAGGTGGGCCCCTGCCCCATTAATGCCTGCTGGCTGGTAGCTTCCGCCGCACTCCTGACCCCCGGAAGGCTTTGCCATCTACCACTGCAGGTCCCTCGCACAACCCGCAGCGTCCTTAAAAGTCATCGTCATCACAGATATCAAGGTACACATCGAAAGCCTCTCTGTTGCAGTTTCCATCAGGAGTGAAGACGTATTTGTGGAAGGTCCCATCTACACAGATGGCTGCAAGAAGGGGGAGGGCAGGTAAAAGGTTAAAGGCTGCCGAAACCACCCACTCCAATCCTCTCCTCGCTGGGGTCCCATGGCCTAGGGTCTACCTCCAGGCCTTTGTCCCCAGGCCTTCCCCCCAGCGATGGAGTTGAGCCGCCCACTCTAGCCCTCTCTCAGGCTTCCCAGGCCCTACAATTCCGGCAGGTCCAAACTGTGGACTCTGCCGACGCAGCACCCCCAGGCAAGAGCTGCTCCCACTCACCAATGACAGAGTTGACGTTCTTGGATGTATTGCGACCGAAGGCGCAGATGCAGGCTGACTCGGCAGGCACGGTGAAGCTCGCCAGGCTCCACTGAGAGTCCACGTACTGCCCAATCATAGGCCCCACCTTGCCCACGCGAGCCAGCCTGCAGGCAGCACTGGCTGAGCCCAGGTGTGGGACACGGGCAGGGGATGGGGGCAGGGCCGGGCCGGGCAGGGAGTACTCACGCGGAGCGGCGGTTGAGGCGGGTGTCCTTCAGAGCAAAGATATGGACCGTGCCCTTATCACTGGAAGCGCAGAGGAACGAGGAGTCATGGCTGAAGTTGATGCTGGAAGACACACCAGCAGTGACGCCCATAGGCCCGGTGGCAGGGGGTCACCAGCCCACCACACATACCCTCTGCTCACCAGTACAGGGTGGCAGGGTCAGTGCCTCGGCGCAATTCCACCAGTTTCTCCTTGGACTGTGTGTCAAAAAGGCGAATCAGGGTGCCTTTCTGGGAGGCGGAGGCCACTACCGTGCCCGGCTGGTTCAGGGACACACAGGCCACGTCGCTCTGATGGGCGTTGATGGTGAATGGGGCGGATGAGGTGCCAGGCTTGGTGCTCGCCAGGTCCTGCGGTAGAAGGGGCAGTTTGGGCTTGGGGTAGTACGGAAGGCAGAGGCCAAGGGCCCGCAAAGGCAGCCCACCCGCCTACCCTTGCCCACGGGATGGCTCACCACAAGCTGCAGGCTCCCACACTTGTGTCCCGGGAACACCAGCAGCTGTTTCTCCAGGCTGGGGCAGAGGTCACAAAGCCCTAGGGTGTGAGGACAAAGTGCTCGGGGAGGGGGTAGGCTGGTGAACGGGAGGCAGGGGCCAGGCAGTGGGACGGGCAGGGCCTTGCAACGGACAGAAGCTGGGTAAGGGTCCCACTTTGACCTTCCGTGATGTATGGCCCCCACGGAACCCTCAGGGGGCTTGCCGTCCGCTGCGCCCCCCAGCAGCGAGGCAGGTTCTCCACCTCCCGACGCAGCTGTGGCAGCCCCAGGAGGGCCCAAGGATCCCTGGCACAGCCACCCGTGTCCTTACTGGCTGTTTCTGCCCTACGCTCTGGGGCACCCAGGGGTGGGGAGAGAGAAGTGGCTAAGGCACGGCAAGATGGACAGGCTGGGAATAGGAGCCTCTCTGCACAAGGACTGTCTCCCTGCCCCTTTCCCAGCTTCTCCGGGCGCCCCTTGCCTCCCCTCACTCCTGCCCCTCTGCCCTGCCCACTGCCTCCTGCCCTCACACCTGCACATCTGGGTCCTCTCACCCTTGGGGTTGTCCCGAGTGTCAAACTCGAACAGCTTTCGGGGACTGTCGGGGAAGGAGTACACGTAGATGCGGTTCCTCAGCACGATCACAATTCTGTGGGCATCACACGACGCAGGATGTCCATGAGGGGAGGGCAGGATGCCAGTCCAGGACTAACCGTCTGGCCTGCTGTGGGGACCTCCTCCCTCCCCCACCCCCGTCCTCCTCAGGCTCACTTGTCATGGCGCACGCGCACAGCCAGCACTGGCTTGGTGAAGGTGAACTCCAGCACCAGCTTGTCCTTGGAGTCCTTGCCCTCTCGGGCATCGTCCCAGATCAGCACTGCTGGGCAGGTGGGTGCGTTGTCGGGGCCAAGGTTCAGGGTGAGGGGCAGCCCTGGTGACACAAGACCCACCCCTACTCCCCATGGGACCTCAACCCACTCGCTTAAACCTTTTGCTAACACCAATGTGAGCTTCATCGGGCATGAGCACTTGTGGGTGTGATGTGTGAGAGAACAGGTTTCTCAGACTGTTATACTCAGTTACAGAGGAAGAAACCGAGGCTCGAGGGGGTTTGACTGTCGGGCTGAGGACTTCACTGCCCATCAGCAACCAGACAGGGACTCATACCCAGGCCTGTAACTTCCCATCGGGAACTATCTCTGCCTCCAGGCTCCTAGTCCGTACCCCTAGGAGGCTTCTGAGTCCTAGACCTCTGTGACTCGCCTAGGGCCTCTCTCACCATCTCCCAGGGGGATCAACAAACAGCCTCAGAACAAGATGGCTCCTAGGCCCAAAGCAAGAGGACACTGCGGGAGATGACTCCAAGATTGTATAACCCATTGGTTGTGTGAATTTGGAAAAGTCCCCTAACCTCTCTGGACCTCAGTTTCTTCATCTGTAAAAATGGGGATAACAATACTTCCCGCCACGTAGTGTCACCATGAGGATTAAATGAGTTAATATCTGTAGGGTGCTTAGAACGGTACCAGGCTCACAGCAAGCGCTCCATAGGTAAGGACAAGGCATACGGGAGGCATTCAATAAGTGTTAAACAAAGGCAAAACGCCAAGCTTCTCAAGCAGTAAGATCCATGAGTTCCGAGCTGTAGGCCTCACTGTGTGACTCTGAAGTGCCCTAACATCTTCATCGGCCAGTGCCCTGAGGTGCCTGGAGGAAGCCAGGATTCCGGGGAATCTGGGCCAAGGGCGGGATGGGATGAGGGCACTTACCTGAGATCTCTGAGAACTTGGGGCTGCTACCACCACCCACCAGGGCCAGCAGGTTGGAGCGGTGCAGCATCTCCACCAGGCCCATGCTGCCCACCTGCTCATGGTCTGGACAAGGACCAGGGTGTCAGTAGGGGTGGGAGCCAATGCCCAGCCCGTCCCTTCTGCCCACTGCCCCTCCCCCGCCAACAGCTCACCCAGATGCCCCTTCTCCATCAATGGCTCCACGTTGTAGATGCGCACACCAGTCTCCATGGCGCAGCAAAAGCAGCCTGGGGGATGGGGGAAATTCGGGCTGCCTCAAACGATGCCCAGTTGGAAGCCAGGGGCTTAACACCCACCTCTGGCCATTCTTTCCCTCCCTCCCTCCTATCCACAAGGGTGCAAGCACGAGCCTCTCTCACTTTGGTCTTGGTTGAAACGCAGACTGGTCACTCCTCGAAGTGGCTGCTGAGTCATGGTCCAGGATTGCTTCCCTGGATACAAACGGGGGTAGAGTTGGGAAGAGTCTGGGGTTTGCCCTCCAAGTCCTAGAACTCCTGTCCCCAACTGGTTTCTTCTTCCTCCTCCTCTGCTACCTACTGCCCCCAGCAGGGCTACAAAGACAACAAAAAAGAGGGATAGTTCTGGGGTCTCCAACTCTAAGCTCCCAAGATCCCAAAGAGCATGGCCAGGAACTTCTCCATCTTCTCACACTTGGTTGACCCCAGCTCCAGGCCTACCCTGACTTGGTTGGACTCCCCATCTCCTTCTTACTCCCTAGCCCTCACTGCGTGTCAGGAAGTAATGGTCGGTAGAGGGGGCCCTAGTGACATCTCTTCCCCACCCCCAGCCAATCCTGGCCCTAATGCCGCACATGGCCTGGAACCACCCCCCCACTCGCTTCTCATCTTCACACCTGGACCTAGCATCCAACTCCACCTGTCAATAAACAGGGAAAGGGGCTAGGACCCCACATCTCCCTAACCCTGGCCCCGAGACCTGCCATGGTTGGTCCACCACCCACAGGACTTCCCCTCCTCGTGAGCCTTCTGAGGCTCCCAACTTATTCCACCATCTCAGAGCCTTCTCACACCTTCCCTCCTCTCAGGCTTCTCCAAACCCCTTGGGGATCCCATGCCTAGCTCCAGATGACCCCTCCTCATGCCATGCTAACTTCTGCCCAACCAGGGCCCGCCTGGATGTTCCCCCAGACCCTCTTATGCCCTAAAGACCCTACATTAGATTCCCCTCTCTCCCCAAATCGCCCACCCCTGGGACATCCCCTTCCAAGTGCTTTTCTGTCCCTGACTCCAACATAGATTGGCTTGAACCTACTCTCAGGAACCCCATCCCCTTTACATTCCTCCTCCAGATTCTCTATCCTCTCCCCCAAAAACCCTGCCCCAGGACACCCCTTCCCCATCAAGACTTGCCCAGGACACACCTCCCGAAACCCCTACCTGGAACAACTCAACCCCACCAAGACGCCTGACCCTCGAAGATTCCTGTCCTAGGGCACCTATACTCCCTTCAAACCCCCATCTCCCCAAGACCTTTGCCCAAGCACACCCCCTCCCCAACCCTCCAAGAGCTCAAACCTACCTTACTCCCTTTGTACCACCTCCATTGGACCGCCTCAGTCCCCAAAGACTCATTCTTTGGACAGACCCACCTTTCAAGACCCCTTTTTGGACCCCCATTCCAAAGACCCCTGCCACCCAAAAGTCCTGCCCCCGGATGCCTCACCCCCTTCCACTTCCTCATGTCCAAGACCGCCCTCATACTCCTTTCAACCGCGGGACCCACTTAAGCTCCCTGTCCGAGACGCCCTCCCATCCACCAACACCTCTGTTCAAGGGACCCGCCCCCACCCCTCCCCTCCCCCAGACTGGATCATGCCCCAGTTCCCCGCTGCCTGCACTGACCTGACCTCCTTGCGTTCCCGATCCCAACCCCTGCTGTCGGCGCCGCCCGCGGCCCGGTTTTCTGACCTCTCGGGCCCTGACGCCCGGCTCCGGTGTTTACATCAGGTCTCACTTCCGGGGGGGAGGGAGTCCGTGACCGGAAGTGACTCATCCCGGCCGGAAAACGCGGCCGCAGCCCTGCTCACCGGGCTTCCAGGTCTTTGGAGCAACGCGAGCCATAGGTGCATCCCCCGGAGAGGCTGTGCGAGGGCCTGACTGCCTGAGGGAGCCGAGGCGGGTGGGCGAGAGAGGTCTGTCCTCGCTGAGCGGAAGAGGGCCGAGCATTCCCCAGCTCGCTCCTGCTCGGAGAGCGAGAGGCGTTGACTTTCTGGGCTAACAAGACTTGGGCCTCCGAGGTGGGCTAGAGTGGCCTTTCTTGTTGGAAATACTAGTCCTCCCAGATTTCTAGAGAGGCGGGGGGGGCGGGGCGGAGGCGGGCGCGGACCTGGAGACCTTGAAAGCTGAAACTCCCCTTGCCCAAGGGAAGCCAGCCGCTCCCCCTCCTTGCTGGGTTTTGTTTACAAAGTGAAAAATGAGAGGTTTTAATGCTGAGAGGTATAAATGCTTCCTGGGGGAAAGAAGCCCAATGATGTGCATACTGGAAATATTTTTTTAATTCAACTTTTAACTTTTGAGGTAACTGGATTCCCACGTAGTTTTGAGAAATAATACAGAGAAATCAGATGTACTTTTAAGGGTTTCCTCCAAAGGTAACATGTGAAATGATAGTAAAATATTACAATCAGGGTATTGACATTGATACCGTCTACCCATGTTTTACTTTCTGAAGTATTGCTCTGATGCTTTTTAAAATTTCTGTGAATACATAATGGATATCATTTTTTTAAAGATTTTATTTATTTGATAGAGCACAAGCAGGGGGAGTGGCAGGCAGAGGGAGAGGGAGAAGCAGGTTCCCCACAGAGCAGGGGGAGCCCAATGTGGGACTCGATCCCAGGACCCTGGGATCATGACCTGAGCGGAAGGCAGCTGCTTAAGCAACCAAGCCACCCAGGCGCCCTGGATATGTTTTAATAACAACTTTTTAACTGATTCATGGCATTCCGTGGAATAAATGGAGCACTGTTCAACTGTTCTCTTACTGGTAGCTATCTAGGTGGTTTCATGTACGATGTTGTCAACATATTGTGAATTTGGACTCCATATCCTGCCCCAGGCGTGATTCCATTGCTGTGGTCCTTGGCAAAGCCAATTTTCTGCCTTTCTTCAGTCCTACTTCCTCATGTCCCAGACCATATTTAACCTAATTCGGTTTGGGTTCTGCCACTCCCACGTCTCTGAGACTGCTCTTACCCAGATCACCCAGGAATAAGAATCTTGCCAAACCAGCAGTCCCTTCCCTACCGGCAATCACCCTCTCCTGGGACTGCCCAAAGCATTCCACGGTTTCTTACTCTCACTTGGTTTTCTCCTACATTTCTGGCTACTCCTCCACCTTTAGCCGATTCCCAAATATTAAGAGTATCCTTGGGTATGACTCTGCCCCCCTTGCTTTTGTAGGCAACATGCTCTCCCTAAGTGACTTCATCTTGTCTTGTAGCCTTAATTATTGCAAATATTTGGGAGATCCACTAATTTAGGCCTCTAGCCTAGACCTCATTCCTGAACACCTGACTTATATACATTATGGCCTGTTTGACATCTTCCTGTGGATGTCTCATAAAGTATCTCAGACTTAACACATCCAAACAAATCTCTTGGGGCGCCTGGGTAGCTCAGTTGGTTGAGCAACTGCCTTAGGCTCAGGTCGTGATCCCAGGGTCCCGGGGTCAAGCTCCCTGCTCATCCGGGAGTCTGCGTCTCCCTCTCCCTCTGCCCCTCCCCCCTCCTTGCTTGTGCTCTCTGCTCTCTCTCACTCAAATAAGTGAAATCTTTTTAAAAGAAAAATAATCAGCACCCAAAAAAGTAAAATTTACAATGTCTGTTTTCCAAACAGACATAACCAGGCCTAAAAAGAAGCAGGAGGTACATACCGCAACATGGAAGAAACTTGAAAATAGTTTGCTAAGTGAAAGAAGCCAGTGAACAAAGGACCACCTATTGTATGATTCCATTTACGAAATACCCACAATAGGCAAGTCCACAGACAGAAAGTAGATCAGTGGTTGCCTAGGGCTGATGGAAGCAGCGAAGGGGGCATGGGGGTGGGGGTGGGGCATTGATTGGGATGAAAAGGGAAGTGATTGCTAAGGGGTATGGGGTTTCTTTTTGGGGTGACGAAAATGTTCTAAAACTGATTGTGGTAATGGTTGCGCAACAGTATACTCAAAAGAATTGGGCACTTTAAATGAATTACGTGGTATGTGAATTACAGAAAAATACACTGAATAGGATTAATGACTAGACATCACAGAAGAAAACCATTGGTGACTTGAAGTCATAGCAATAGAAACTAACAAAATGAAAAAGAAAAATAAAGAATCCAGGGGTGCCTGGGTGGCTCAGTTACATGTCTGCCTTTGGCTCGAGTCATGATCCTGGGGTCCTGCTCAGCGGGGAACCTGCTTCTCCCTCTCCCTCTACCTGCCGCTTCCCCTGCTTGTGCTCTTTCTCTCTCAAATAAATAAATAAAATATTCCCCTGCTTGTGCTCTCACTCTCAAATAAATAAAATCTTAAAAAAAAATAAAGAATCCAAAATAAATAAAGAAGGCATAAATGAGCTATGGGATAATTTCAGATGGCCTTATATGCAGGGAAATAGAATCCCCAAAGGAGAGGTGGGAGGACCAAAAATATGTGAAGAAATAATGTCCTAAAACTTTCCAAAATTAATGAAAAACATAAACCCACAGATCCAAGAAGTTCAATGAACTCCACTACAAGAAACATGGAAAATACTGCACAAAGGCACATTGTAATGAAATTACTCCAAACCAATGATAACAAAGAAAATCCTAAAAGCAGCCAGAGAAATAAGACGTGTTACATAAGGGAGAAAAAGAGAAGAATGACATCAGGTTTCTCATTAGCAACAATGCAAACAAGAAGAGAGTAGGGCAACATGTTTAAAATTAGAGGACAGAACTTTCTGAATGACAGAGTAAGGAACTCCCAAATCCATTCCTCCAGAAAAGTAATGAAAGCACTGGCCAGGGGTGCCTGGGTGGCTCAGTCGGTTAAGCGGCTGCCTTCGGCTCAGGTCATGATCCTGGGGTCCTTGGATCGAGCCCCGTATCGGGCTCCCTGCTCAGCAGAGAGCCTGCTTCTCCCTCTCCCTCTGCCTGCCACTCTGCCTACTTGTGCTCTCACTCGCTCTCTCTCTCTATCTCTCTGTCAAATAAATAAAATCTTTAAAAAAAAAAAAAAAAAAAGAAAAGGGCGCCAGGGTGGCTCAGTCATTAAGCGTCTGCCTTCGGCTCAGGTCATGATCCCAGGGTCCTGGGATCGAGCCCTGCATCGGGCTCCCTGCTCAGCGGAGAGTCTGCTTCTCCCTCTGCCCCTCCCCCTGCTTGTGTTCCTGCTCTTACTGTCTCTCTCTCTCAAATAAATAAATAAAATCTTTTAAAAAGAAAGAAAGAAAGAAAGAAAGCACTGGCCAACAACAATAGCAAAAAAAAGGTCCAAATTAACTTTCTGGGAGTTGTAGACATTAGCCAAATGCTTGAAACAATCTGAGAAGCATTTATTCAAGAAAAGTGCCTGAGGGCGCCTGGGTGGCTCAGTCGGTTAAGCGACTGCCGTCGGCTCAGGTCATGATCCTGGAGTCCCGGGATCGAGTCCCACATCGGGCTCCCTGCTCAGCAGGGAGTCTGCTTCTCCCTCTGACCCTCCCCCCTCTCATGTGCTCTCTCTCTCTCTATCTCATTCTCTCTCTCAAATAAATAAATAAAATCTTTAAAAAAAAAAAAAAAGAAAAGTGCCTGAATCTTGGTAAGAATGAGCTTTGTGGCATTTTAATGGCCTCATTCCTGTCCCCCTCTACCCAGCTCCATCATACCAGTGAAAACCAGCAGCCTAACAGGATGGAGGGAGGAAAATGGGCGTGGAGCTCCCCCAAAAGCTACATTCCAAAAGAACTGGCATCCTTTTTTTTTAAGATTTTATTTGTTTATTTGACAGCACAAGCAGGGGGCCTGGCAGGCAGAGGGAGAGGAAGAAGCAGACTCCCCACTGAGCAGGGAGCCCGATGCGGGGCTCCATCCCAGGACCCCAGAATCATGACCTGAGCTGAAGGCAGAGGCTTAACCGACTGAGCTACCCAGGCACCCCGAATTGTCATCCTTTTTAAAAATCACATGTTAACATAAATAGCATTTTTCTAAAACAAAACAAAAAATACTTAGAAGAGTGGCATCGTTTTATATTTCTGCAAATCTCTTTAATGTTTGGTTTAATAGAAAACAGCTAGATCCTCATATATGCTCCTGAGTTCAATCTCTTGTGATACCACATATTTGATGTCCTCTGGAACACTCTACTATGCATTTGTGAGAGAATGAGTGTGAAAAATAATGTCTTAGTATCATGAAAATACTTCTGACCTCCAGACACCTTGAAAGATTCTCAGAGACCTCCACCAGAGATCCCAGACCACAGAACTATTAATCAAAGCTGTTAAAACTTCTGGTTATAGAGGTACCAACCCATCCTCACCTCCACAATGAATGTTTTACCTCACCTTTATACTGGAGCAAATAGGGCTTTATATCTTATTTGAATGAAGATGGGTTCCTAAGTGTTAAAATCCTCTTCAGTTTGCTTTTCAAACCAGTGGTCTGTTTATTTACTTAATGCTGAATGTTAATAAGACAGTCATCAGAGAATGAAGAATGATGCACATTCCTGTCATACAAAGTTGTTATGAGGAAGGGTTTCAGGATCAAACAGACCAAGTTTCAATGACCGAGTAACCTGTTGAAGAAATCCCAACTTGAATGACTGTTTAGGCATTCCAGATTTGTGGGAATGAGTTATAAGTATTTACATCTCAATCAAAATCTTTTTCAAAGCATGGATCTTGAAGCTAACATGACTCTGCTCAGACCCAGTTGGGCCAACTTTAATATTAGAGTCTCTCCTTGGAACATTTCACCTTTTGTGGGTGTGACTCACTGAATTAATCTTTCTCTTTAATGCATCCTGGAAAATGGATTGTTTGTGGCTTGAAGAATTAGGTTTTACTCTGATGTTTTGGAAAAGTAGCATCTTGATTTCCACAGGCCTTCATTTAACAACGAATCATTGAACATTCATTCATTTATTAAAGCCCTAAAACATATCAGGCACACTGTATGAAATCTTGGGAATAGAACAGGAAGCAGAACACTATCCTTGTCCTC